TTGAATTGTAATGAGCTTTTCTAGTTGGTAGTAAATGCAGTTTTAATCTAACTATTCACTTGATGCTATAAATTAATACAGGATTTTGAAGATTTAAAAGTTGATAATTTATTCTAGTAAAAATTCATTATTTATTTCTCTCCTCCCCCCCCCCAAGTTAAGACAATAGTGTCCATAAAAGTAAGTGATTTTCTAATTAAATGTCGTATTTTCATTGCATTTTTTTTTATTTGATCATTCTGTACAGATTTTCTAACTAGTGCTCCTGTTTGACCAAAAATTTTCATGATTTAAATTCTGAAAAATTGTCCTTAACTAATATAAACATTTAGTGCTACAAAAAGTTTCTCCATTTCAAAAATTTAAGTGTAAATTAAATTAAGATGTAAAAAAGAAGGCAGCTATGTGAGTGTGTGTGTGTGTGGGGAGGTCATTTGCATTTTAAGCACTGGCTTAAGTACCTAATAAAAATTTCTGGAACTGTTGTATTTAGGTGTAATGCTTAATTAAAAAATAACAAAAATTTTGATAAAATCTACCATTTTTGAAGTGATCGACAAAAAAAGTTTGAACTCAGTCACATTCGTCCGTCAATCATTACTGGCCTTGTTTAATTACATTCACCGGAACATTTATGGTACAACATTGGCACCAAAGAAACAAGATTTTTACATCAAAATATCTCTATCATTCTTAATAATCAAGATTTTGATGATAAAACTGTTTTAAGTTTTGGGCATTTACCTATTTTATCTCCTTATGATGTAAAAATTATAAGTCAGACATTTGAAGTACTTAAAATCATCATGCACTTCTGTAAACAATGCAACATGTTGATAAAAACACCCAAAACTTAACAAATTTTATCTTTTGTCATTTTCAAGAAGATTAGACAATTTTTACGTCAAATTTTCTCAATGTAGGCTACAGAACCAGAGAATTTATTTACAGCTTAAAACAATTTACATGTAGGTATAAACATTGCAAAATACTTTGAGGCACACTGCAACTCTAATTTCAAAATTAACCAAAAATAAAATAATTATCAATGCCTATTTGTTTCTAAGGAATCTATAAATGAATTCGTAAAAAAATTTTGCATTTTCATGATCAATCCTCTCATTTTTTTATTTACAGAATGTTAAAAAAAATATTTATTTGCAAAATGTTAAAATATTTGCAGTTATAAAAATAAGGACAGATAAATGTAGTTTTGTTTTAATTTCACAATGCTGAATAAGAAAATAGAAACTGCAATAAAACTAAATTTTAATATATTAATTTGCTAATTACTTCAAAATTCTTTCAACACTTTTGAAATGTTATTATAACCGTATTAATAATCTAAAAATATATTTAGATTAATTAAATGAATGGTTTATTAAAAACACTTGCGATTAACATGTTCAGAAAGAATTAAAAGTAATTGTTCTTTCTGATTAGCTCCCCTGTTAATCTATGTGCTCATTTGCACATTACTTGTTACTAAGTGAAATTTGTACATTTTGCTTATTGCAGAATTATTTTAAAATATTAGTCATTGTGTGACAATGGGCATTATGCAAAAGTAAAAAAAAAAAAAATTTTTTTTTTTTTTTTTTTTTAATACTCTTATATATTGCCAAAGAACAGCTGTACCTGAAGTTTAAAATGTAAAAGGTTTTTAAAAAATCTTTTAAACTAAGCAAATAAAGCTTTATCAAGCTTATAATGTTCCAAAGATTTTTTTTTTTTTTTTTTTTTTAACAGACCAATGGTAAATTTTTGCAGGTTATTGGTTGTGGACAGAGAATAGCAAAAAACATCATCTGAAGTTTGGCTTAAATTCAAAGCCAAACTGATACTCAACTTGCTTTGCCAGCAAATGATTTTACTGTTTTAGTTAAAAAATTAAAGGGTATTAGCTTGTAAGTGGATTTGACTGGAATTCGAACTTGGCTCTCCAATTCCTCAATCCACTATCCATTACTCCACCATATCAGCTGATCTAAATCTAATTGGAAACAAATATTTACTTTAAAATATGACGGACATGCATTTTTTTTAACTTGACAGTAGTTCTGTTAACAGGCCTAATGTTCTATGGAGACTTTATCTATAAAATGTAATTGAAGAAAATGATATAAGTGCATTATATATATATATATAATATATATATATATATATATATACATACACACACACACACACACACACACACACACTGGGTAATCTTTAAAATTTAAAATATTCTCCATAATCCAATATTTTATTGAATATAAGAAATGTTGACTTGAAATTTACTATAGTTATCGCTCTTATTTTCTAATAATTTTGTGTATGGTTACCCTTGCTTATAAAAATCAGCACATTTATACACATACAAAAAAAAAAAAAATTAGATTCTTTTAAAAAATATTGCTGTCTGATTTGTATTAAGCTTTTCCATCTATGATTAGTAAATAAAGTTTTCACTTATCACCTAAGAGGCTGAAATTAAAAAAAAGAATTTTAAAAGATTTAACCTTTATCCATATGTGACTTCATTTGCTGTATAAAAAGTTCATCCTGCCACTGAAGGTGACACTGATCCCTGAAGAATAGTCTTTGAATTTCTTAGATGTATTGACATATCCTGCTATGAAAACAGAAAACAACTTGGTGAAATTAACAATAAGGAGACTTCAATTGAGAGGCCATGAAAAAGAATGTGGTGGAAAGGGAAGTAATATTAATAATGCTGAGTGCTAAAGGTTAAAATTTAATTTTTCTAATTAACATTATAAAAAAAAAAAAAATGAAAACAATTCTTGTAAAAATTTCATTATTCATCGAAAATAATGTCCTTATTATTTATAAAAACCATTAAAAGTTTTTCTAGTTAAATGTCATATTGCATTTTATTTTACAGTTCAGAGCAGATCTTTGGTAAATGGTATTTCTGTTTGGCAAAAACAAATTGATTTAAATTCTCCAAGAAGCCCTAACTAATATAAATATGAAGAGGCTGAAATTTTAATTTCATAAAAAAAAAATTTAATTTCATAAAATTAAGTCGGGTAACAGATGTTTAAGTAAAATAATTTCATTTGTAAATAAATCCTAAAAATTTAATAAAATCCAACAATTATTTGATTTTTGTAAGAATTTTTTTTTTTTTTTTTGTTAACACCAAAAACAGCACTAAAATTACCTATAAAGTCATTCCATGTCAAATCAACATGGGTCTGACCATCACTGGCACACAATTTTTTCAAATTTGGTACACTTATATAGCTTCATGATAGAAATTGAATGGTATCTATTTTAGATTTCCTGGTCAAAGGGTTGACTCTTTGACCCTTGCCAAAAGGTGAATTTTTGTAAATGGTAACATAAATTATACAGCATTATAAACTTGGATTGATATAAAACGTGTTGTTTTTGTTTTTTGTTTTTTTTTATAGAGGTCAATTAAGATAATTTGACCTTGGCCATAAGCGTTTCTTTCTTTTTTTTTTTTTTTTTTTCTTAGGAAAATTGGCAACGGATTTGTCTGCTCTGCTCTATGGCAAGATGTGTACAAAATTGTGGTCTGAGATACAAGGTTTTACCTAAAAAAAAATTTTCAAAAAATTCTGTGTACCTAAGGTTTAAATGTATTTCATGTAAATGAAAAAACTTGAAGCTTTCTTTTTAGCCACAATTGAAAGCTTAAGGATTAAATTTTCTAATTTCAGAAAGCAATATACTGTGGTGTATTTTAAATAGAAATTAGAATGATTTTTAATAGATTCATTTATTTTGGGACATTTATAAACAAAAGTGTATTCTCAGTTATAAAAATCTTACAAAAATGGAATATTTCTGAAACATTTGTGGAAGATTAGCAAATTTAAAGTTAAATTAATCTGTTCTGAAACCAATGTTACTTATTGCATAAAATTTTCTATGCAAGCATTTTTTGACCTTGGGGTCTTTTTATTCTGACTTTTCCATCAATATATTGATAGCTGACGGTGTTGAGAGGTTAAGTATGGTGGACCAGAATTGACATAAATTTATGAATTCTAAGTAAAAATGTTTTATTTTTAACTACCAGGTAATTTTTTAGCCAATTATCTAATATTTTATTTAATTTTAGGTATTTTACAACTGAAAATGCTTTCTAGAAATTTTACAAAATTTATAAAAATGAGAATTAACTTTTATCTACCAAAAAAAAAAAAAAAAATGATATTTTTAGCGCTTTTTTACTGACAAAAAAAAAAAAAAATACAGAAAATATTCTTATCAGTATCAAATCCCACTTTACAAAATTTTTTATTAATAATTTCAAGATAGGTTCAGTTTAAAAAAAAAATAAATAAATAAATTTTACTTTCTATTATCCCCTTTGTCAAATGGAATCATTACTTTTAAACTAGTCATACATACTACATCTGATTTGTTATAGCTGTTTTATCTGGAGCATATCAGGCTAAGAAATGCCCTTTCCCCACCACCTATGAAAAATGATATTAGGAGATAGCTGAAAGCTGTATACAGTTTTCATTAATGATTTTGTGATGGCTCTTTGCCAATATAAATTAAAGATGGCAAATTAAAAAGATTAAAACTTTGAAGTGAAGTTTCATATTGAAGATAATAAAAGTTTGTTATATATATATATATATATATATATATATATATATATATATATATATATATATATATATATATTCAAGATTGTAAAGAGAATTTAGAACTGACAATAAGCAAAAAGTTCTAATAAAGGTTAATATTATTTTTTTTTTAACTCTTGCACTGCCAGTCGATGACTTTTTTTTTTAACCTGGAGACTGAACTGTTTCAGGAAACAAGATATAGCAAGCTGCAATATTCTAAGGATCTTTTTTTTTCTTTTACACTATAGTATTATTGATGAGTGTTTCTCTCTCAGTGTGGTTTAATAGTGTCCTTTTCCAGTGCTTTGGTGGTAGTCTTAACAAACTGGAGATGTTTCTCTTTGGTAACTATTTGTATATTTGCATTAATTTTAGAAGTTTTTTCCGCCCCAACTTCAGAAACGTCCGGGGCCGCGGTGGACCACCCATGATTAGAGGTGCTGGTATGATGAGGCCCATGGCACCACCCTTCAAACCAGGACCCATGTAAGTTGAAATTGCTGTTTTTCTTCTAATTTAATCCATTGCTATTTCTTAGAGATTACAGTAAAAAAAAAAAAAAAAATTATATATTGCTGGGGCAATTTTTTAATGTTTTTAATATTTATTTTAACCTTTTCGAACAAATAATTCTCTTGTAACTTAATTTTAAAAAAAAAAAAAATCTTTCACCTGTGCAATAATTTGAACTGGGCATTTTAGCTACTAATTCATTTAAAATTTATATTATTCATTAATGCGCTTTCTTAAAGGGCAAAGGATTAAAATGTTTATATAATTTCACCATATTGCTGTAAACAAATACCAATAAATTTCACTATTTTTATGACATCAGAATTATCTATAAAAAATTTTAAAAATTTGTTTTATTTCTCCCTCCTGAAGAACTTTTTTTTTTTCCTTTAAGTAGCAGCTAATTAAGTAAAGCTTGAAATTAATCAGTTTTGTTTTCTATTAAAAAGATTCTAAAAATTATCCTTGCAAACTTTATAAAATAGTAATTATTTATAAATAGTGCATTATTTAACAACCAGAGAAGTGTTCCAACTTAAAAAGGGTTTTTCTATTGCTATATGACTAGCTAATTATAATTTTATTTTAAGAAACTCTTCAAGTTCATTCTGGCAATTAGTATTTTCGGCATCTTACTTATAAAACGCAGATTGTGTGTGTCTGTTCGTTATATATGGGATCGTATTTCCTACATTTTTCAACCAATTTCAACAAAACTTCACAGGACTACGTAAAATTACCCGGCAGTGGTTCTGACAGCACCAAAAATTGGAAAAACACAACTGTTTTTGCACAAAATCAATTTGAAAGCACGGGTAAGGGTATCGCACCCGGCCGGAAGTTACTGCCAACTTCTCAAACGTCCAAATGCCGTTAACTTCCGGTGACTCGGCGTGTTTGTTTGTTTTATATATATATATATATATATATATATATATATATATATATATATATATTCTTTATCAGATAACGATACTCAAAAAGTAAAACAGATGAAACATAAACATACACAAGTCCTCCTAACTAAAAATAATATCCGGAAGCTACTTTAAATACACATGGTGTCCAAATGAAACCCATGTGTACAGTCAAAATGCGGAAGTTAATTTTTAGTCATCAACCAAAAGATATTGCCAACCAGGCTACGATGCTATCTGCAACCGACATAAATACAGCCAATTTCTTCCACCAAGCAACTCCGGGGCAGAGGGACGTGCTTTCCCCTCTCACCTTCACCTGGCCATGCAGGTAAATTTGTGAAAAATAAACCTCCACATCTCAAGTGTTAATAAAAAGCAACGCATGTCAGATTTATAAAGATTTCCTATTTGTCCCTTATCCTATCATTCTCTTGCATTCCTATCTATATTTGATCTTAATTCATTTATATATATATATATATATATATATATATATATATAACAGATGCAAACTATGCCTGGAAGAAAAAATTAAAATAATTAAGTACAAAAATACAAGCCATTTATTGAACTAGAGAAATAAAATTATACTTAAATGTCATCATAAAAATAAGTTTATATAGTCTTAAAAATAGTCATTTATTTTGCATCAGACATATTTTCATGGCTACTGCACTGATGAGCATTTTTTCCCTGGTGCCCTGACTACCAAGTGTTTTACTAGATTAGCATCTACGTCCCAACTTTTTACTGTTGAAATAGTTAAATGTAAACGTCCTTCTAACAGTTTCTTAGTATTATTACTTCTCCATATTGGAACTCCATTCCTCTTACTTGCTTCCCTGATAACTACAATCATCAAAAACCTAAATGCAACATCAGTCACCATGTTTTGTTGCGTTGATACCTGTTCTTTTTCCTTTCTTCAATCCCCCCAATGAACTTTTTTCTCTCATTTTCACTCTCCATAACCCCCCTGTGATAATGGCACTTCTGAATTGCTAGGGGTGAAATGCTTAAAAAAAAAAAAAACCCAAAACATTGAATATAAAATAATTTTTAATTGACAAAAGCATCTAATAAAACAATTAGGGTACTGAAAATAACATCTACCACTATCAAAGGTAAAGCTCTCCCTGCCAGCAGCTAAAATAATTAAAAAAAGTGCTGTGTGTGTATATATATATATATATATATATATATATATATATATATATATATATATATATATATATATATATATATGGCGTGATGTGTGTAAAATAATTAATGCACGGCTGCAATTTTCAACGGATTTGCACCAAAATTTACATGCACATGCTCCAAGTTAGCGGGAACGCCAAGACTGACTTTGCATTTCCCAACTCCCATCGATAGTGGAAATAATCGATTTTTTTTTTTTTTTTTTTTTTGATTTTTTTTTCATGCTTCTACGACAGTTTTCATGTAGTTTGTGGCCATTTTCTACTGGCCAGGGTGAGAGCTTATAGCTGGCTGCCATGAATAGGCAGGAAGATTTTATTGACCAGCATGAGAGCCAACAGCTGACTGACACAAATGTTAACTAGCATGCAAAAAAATCGATAGCTGCATTCGTCACAAATGGAAAAAATTTAAATCTGCATGCTATTTTACTCCAATTGGCTCATTCGCTTGCTTAAACTCAACATTCATTCTGATTCCGCAGAACTGCATTGGGTGTGAAAAAGTATTTGTTGATAACATTCTTTTTTCATTTGGTTCTTCTAGTTACGAGTCCTTTTTTAAAGCTGATCATTTTGTGTTCATTTTGTTTAGTTCTTTTTTCGTAACAGATTTAATGTTTAGTATAGAGCTTAGAAAAAATTTGCAGTGTGAGATAGGCAAGAAGTAAGGCATGTAGCAACATCAGCACTCCTTTAAAGGCAAGGAAGGACAAAAATATTTGAAATCAAGTGATAGAGATTGCTGTATGAGTCATACGATTTTTGAATCAAGCACGGGCAACGGTGGGCTATGCTGCTAGTAGGTTATATAATATAATACTGTCATAAACTATATTGTAATCTTATTAAAGAATTATAGGATGCTGTTATAGAGAATGAGCATGTTTTTTCATTGCTCCAAGAAAGCTATGTGGTTTTTTTTAAAGGGAAGTGTTGTTTTTTTATTATTATTATACTGTTTTGATAAATCATGGTATACACCGATTGTTTTCTTTTCAAAATAAGTTATTTAGCATTGTAGTGTAATAGGCAAAGGTTCAGAATAAGAATTCAGAGAGCAGTTTCAATTCCAGTCAGGTTTGTTATATTCACTTACACAGAAATATGCTTGAGAAAAGTATGAATCCATCTCTTATTCTCTCATCTATGGGTTGAATAACAAGACAGACTGGGTTCTTTAGCCTTGGGTGGCAACCAGTCTACTGCAAAAAGAAATGGCAACAGGAAAATTTTCTGCCTAGTCAGTCACAAATCAGATGATTGCTCAAGCATATAGCACTTAACTAACTAAATTTATAATCATTAAGAATAATGAACAGTTGTTTACCAAATTATTTATACGTTGACACATAATTATTTATCTTTTAATATAACATTCTTTTATGAAAGAGGACATTTTTTAATCTTAATGATTACTTGATTTTGTTTACTTTTGATAATTGGCTTTGCATTTTTTTTATTTATTTATTTATTTATTTTTTTTTACAATAAAATGAATATACATATCATTTAAACATCATATAATAGATCATCCAGAAAAAGAAAAAAAATCACACCCTTCAGTTTTGTCCATGTATTGGCTGTGTTAAAGTAAGACAATCAATTCAAAAAATAATCAAATTTAGATTAGTTTTTAGTTTTCCCCAGTTTTGGGGTTGCACAAACAAACACAACCTTTTGTAATCAGTTTTTGTCTGTAAAATTAGTTCTAGAGATCCTAAAATTGGCTCAGAAAAAGGTTTTTGGCATGAGGAATCCAAAAATTTGGTACACACACAGACAGAGCTCAAAATTAACCAATTTTAAGTTATTAATGAATTTTTTTTTTTTTAAGTAAGATCAATGGGGGATATATAAATTACTGATGTGTTTTATTTCATGTTGACAATTTTTAAATAAGTGCTTTTTATTTAATCAAAAATAATTAAAAATTGGTAAATAAAGGAATAAGATTTGGTCCTAACACCATTTATTTCATTATTAAAGATATTTGCATATTTACATAATTTTACAATTTTCATATCCCATAACTTATATGCATACTTTTAATATTTCTTTCATGTTTACAATAATGAAAAAATTATTCAAATTCAAGAAGTGTTCTTTCTTAATGCTTTAGAAATATGAAAATTAATAAAATAAAAAAAAAAATTCTGTAATGTTCATATTTGCATTATTCTCTTAGTTTTTATTGTATTGATGGTACTGATTTTTTTTTTTTTTTTTTCATTGTTACTCTCCCATTTTTTTGTTCATTTTGTTACTCTCCCATTCTCAATTCCATGTGGTGCTGATATTTAACTTTGTGCATTGACAGAATTTTGCAGGCAATGATTGATACAAAAGAAATGTATTGTCTCTATATTATTTTAAATCTATATACACCCACCAACATAATCTGGCCATTTCTATTCTGACAGCTATTTTACTCTTTATAGACCATATTTAAAGGCGGAACAGAAACTTTTCACTAAAGTTGTAGTTTCTATTCTGAGCAAACTAAGAAATAACCAAACTAACTTTTTGGAACAAATAATGTTCAATACATGAAAAATAATAATTTTTTTTTTTTTTTTTTTTTTTTTTTTTTCCATATATGTACGGACACATTCTCTCCCTACTGATCTTGCTATGAAAAAATCAAATCATTAATAATTTAAAATTGATCAATTTTTATAGCATTTTTGGTCTTCTCAGGCCAAAAAAGACTTTTCTGAACCAATTTTTAGGAGTAGGGAAGCTCTAGTGCTAATTTTAGACAAAAATAGATTACAAAAGTTTTTTTTTGTGTGTGTGTGTGTGTGTGTGTGTGTGACCCCAAAACTGGGGAAAATTAAAAACTTATGTA